TTAAAAGGAGAGAAGCTGAACAAATTAGGTAATGAAAATAAAGTTCTCATATTCTGCATGCCAGCCCACCAAAGGACAGAAAGTAATGCAATGCTTAGGACTTACGACCGAGAGAAATCAAAGATTCAGAACATTCAGAACAATATTCCGATTGTCACGGGTTTTTAACAGGATACTGCCTCCTCAATGAAAATCTCAGTATATTGAAGCTAAGAAACACCGACGAATGCAGATTATGTGGACAACCATTCGTATCATAAACTTTGGTATGCCTGATATCGGAGATGAATAGGGTTTCCATAAAGGCTTTTGGAAATTCCGGACAAGTGAACTTAGGAATCCGAAAAAAAATCCGGACAAATGAACCGGACAAAATTCGGACGTGGCAAAAAAGAAATTACAAATTTATTTATGTACTTTTATAGGACGCAAATAATAGACCCGGGATCAACAAAATATAAACAAAAAAACATTCACTTTCCAGGAGTGCCCCAAAAGCGAAACATGCGTCGCGCCTCGGTTAAGTAGAGTTGTAGCGTCTTAGAAACTAAAATATTCAACAAAGTAACTGACAAATTAATTCAACTATAATTGTAAAATATTTCACTAAGTTAAATTGTTTTTGCTGCCAGGTTTCCCGGACGCTTTTCCAAATTCGGGCCGGACCGTCCCGGACACTTTAATAATCCGGACATGTCAGGGTAAATCCGGACGTATGGAAACCCTACAGATGAAGAACTAAAACTGCCTCAGATATTGGCTCTTGTCAAAACCCTGAGACTGTATGATGAGTTATAACTCAAAAAAGGCGGATATAATAGATCTATAAAGTTGCGGTGATTAACTTCCCCCCTCCGATAAAATCTGCATCTATATATTTTAGTATATTACAATACGTAGACTTATTTTATAAGTATTGTACAACACGTACAATACTTATTTTGACATGTAGATCTGCCTATCCATTTATGTTACTGTAAACAGCTCTCATCAGCTATTCCTGGGGGAATTCCTTATTGCCGCTCGGACATCGAATCCTTTCCGGCCACCCCGACCTTAATTACCGGAATAATCCGAGGCGTCTGCCGGCGTCCCGACGACGTCGTTGAACAGGTGGCGCCCTTGACGCCGTCGTCGGTCGGCGAGCCGCCAAAGAGACTCTTGGGATGAGTTGCGGTCGCCGACGCTCGCAGACGCTCGCAGCTGCAGTTCGAAGGTTAATGCTTTGTTTACAGCCCACTTTCGCTACCAGGTTTACGGTTTATGTCGTGCGAGATTTTCGATTGTCAGCTGACAAGTCGCTGTTTTATGGGCAACCGAGTGTCGAGAGTATTGTCAATACAGAAATCGATATGTTCTTTTAGAGTATGACTAAAGGTTGATTCTCACTATACCTTCCGTATCAGCACCCTTCCGTTTACGTAAAATATTATTTCATGTAAATGAATAGGACAATGCGCACTATCTGTTCCGTTTACCTTCCGTTCCATATCCTTGGACAGACTGAAGCGTATCGGAAACAGCGTTGTCAAGTTCTTACATCTGTACCAGCTCTGTTAATATTTTGCTGATATTTATTTATCCTTTCACCTCTTAATTAAATCTATTGCCTTTTTCAAAAGATACACATTTTTAAAACAAAACTTTCGTAATGATATAAATTAATACAATAAAAAGTATGGAACTGATATTGAACATGGAAGGTTACGTATAACGTCAATACATTAAAAAATACGGAACGGGTATGGAATGGATATGGAATGGATACGGAATGGATACGGAATGGATATGGAATGGATATGGAATGGATATGGAATGGATATGGAATGGATACGGAATGGATACGGAATGGATATGGAATGGATATGAAATGGATATGGAATGAATATGGAATGGATATGAAATGGATATGGAATGGATATGGAATGGATATGGAATGGATATGGAATGGATATGGAATGGATATGGAATGGATATGGAATGGATATGGAATGGATATGGAATGGATATGGAATGGATATGGAATGGATATGGAATGGATATGGAATGGATATGGAATGGATATGGAATGGATATGGAATGGATATGGAATGGATATGGAATGGATATGGAATGGATATGGAATGGATATGGAATGGATGTGGAATGGATGTGGAATGGATGTGGAATGGATGTGGAATGGATGTGGAATGGATGTGGAATGGATGTGGAATGGATGTGGAATGGATGTGGAATGGATGTGGAATGGATATGGAATGGATATGGAATGGATTTGGAATGGATTTGGAATGGATATGGAATGGGATGTGGAAATGGATGTGGGAATGGATGTGGAATGATGGAATGGATATGGAATGGATATGGAATGGATTTGGAAATGGATTTGGAATGGATATGGAATGGATATGGAAATTGGATATGGAATGGATATGGAAATGGATATGGAATGGATATGGAAATGGATATAATGGATATGGAATGGATATGGAATGGATATGGAAATGGATATGGAATGGACATGAATGGATATGGAATGGATATGGAATGGATATGGAATGGATATGGAATGGATATGGAATGGATATGGAATGGATATGGAATGGATATGGAATGGATATGGAATGGATATGGAATGGATATGGAATGGATATTGAATGGATATGGAATGGATATGGAATGGATATGGAATGGATATGGAATGGATATGGAATGGATATGGAATGGAAATGGAAAGTATAGTGAGAATCAACCTTAATAAAGCTTCATACAAACAAATGGTTAATAGAAAAAAAAACACGAAATAGTTAATAGAAGGTTTAATTTCATCTACATCTGGATTGCAATTTAAGCTTTTTGCAACCCTGATTGCAAACTGGCGGTAATCGATCGCTTTTACTTTTTATTTTCATTGTTAATAAGGCTAAAAATAGTTCCATATATTGGTTATTTATTCAGGACACGGAATAATGTAAAGAACCAGGAGAAGGACAATAACAGTTCAAAATAGGGTCGAGTGTCGGTGAAACATCATGTTATATCATGTGCACATGGGTGACGGTTTTACGGAAAATATTTTTGAGTCACATTGCTATCTTTTTTTCTAAATTGAGTTGCCTGGGATGGAATTCTGTAACTAAAATAGCAATCGGTAGCTGTCCTTGGCTGTAGCAACTGTAAGAACTAAACCGCAAGCGAAAATATTCTTCATCGCTACCGATCGCTATTGAGTTGTGCCTGATGACTGAGATGTGCTTTTCTCGGTAGAGGATATAGGGTAGAAGGTAGAATGTAAGTTCAATGAGTTTCCTGCCATATAGTCATTTCTAATTGCCCTCTCCACCCTTCATCAAGTCTATCGAGTGTTAAAATGATGCCGTTAGTAGCTATTTTTTTTTCCTAGGCATCGATCACCGGGATCATCAGCCATGGACAACACGGTATTGATAACAACGCAATTACTGGGATCACTTAAGGGATCACTCTTACAACGACAATTCAAAATGTAAATCATTTCAACATTTCAAGTTGAGTGACAAAATGATCAAAAACAAACCCAGAAATGTAGAGAAAAAAATAAACAACACGAAAAATAGGTAAGTATGTACATCACAGTATCACAGTTGGTGGTATACCGTCATCGAAACTGTGCGATCTGGATTTTAACGTGTAAGACAGTGAGATGGACAGCTCAATGGAAAGTCAAATGTATTAAAAAAGATAAAAATTGGGTCGACACATTTCTTCTATGCGGTATTGCCGGATTTTACATCAAAATTTCAAACCGCACTAGTAGACGTTTACGAAAAATGTTGCATCTAGGGTTGCGAACTTTATTTTTCACTGTTACTTACTCATTTTACTACAGTTGTAATAAATTATATTTAGTTTAGATATTATGCTATCATCATTTCAGTAGTATGCATGAAAGTTTTTAAAATAGGTTATATTTTTCTACACACATTTTCCTACAAACGTAAAAAACCGGCAACACTGTATGCCGCTTTTGATTTTGTCTTCTGTCTGTCAACCGGTAATTTATATTATTCTCTGTTACACGCATTAAAATCCAGTCCACATAAATCGGATGACCAGCAGGGTATGTTAATATCCTTCATAAAGTTCAAAATATTATCAAAGTAAGAGAACGTTTAGTTTTGTTCAAAATATTTTTAATAATTATTCCTTTTTCAATTTTCACCGCGTATTTGGAATCTAATTCTTTCTATCGTGGGTATGTTGAGGACATTCATATATAATATGAGTCACTGTCAACTCAGCATCACAAACTATGCACATTGGAGTTTATTCTTTTAAGCAGATATGCATGAATCATTGCAGTATGCCCAGAACGAAGACGATGCACTCTGGATTCATCCGCTAGTCCAAGTGTAAAACGTAAGGATGGGGTTAGCGGATCCTGTTTTATTGCGCGAAGCTTTGAAGGTTTATCTGTGCACTCATCCTGCCATTCCGTACATTTCAGTACTTTAAAATCATATTTACTAATATAAAGGGAAATCAATTGTATCTCTTCTAGCAGCTTGCTGAGCAGCTTCATTACAGTTGGGGTTTGGAACTTTTGGTGTTACAACAGCAAAATAAAACACTAATTCACCACAATACACCAAAACACGAAGCTCTGGACGCGCGTTTTGCTAACCATGTTAGCATCATCAGTAGATGATTAACAGTAAAACTCAAATCCAGTTGGTTAGTTTTAATCATCTGCTCATTAATGAAATGCGCGTCCAGTGCAAAAGTAAAAAAAATTGGTGTATTGTGGTGAATTAGCGTTTTATTTGATTGATGGGTAGCTTCATCATTCAGCCATTGTGTTACCAAGGATATTAATATAGCTTGAGACCCATACAAACGTGAGTTTGTTTCCCTTTTTGCTGCACTCTCGAATAAGAGTCTGAATTTTTTGTTTCAGAGGATTTTGGACAAAAACGTCATTAATTTTAGACACAATCTCTAAAGAGTCAGAAACAGTTACTACTCTAGTCTGATTGTTTTCCATGATGACATAGGATAAGGCATCCCAGATCGCAAACTGTTCTGTGAAAAAATTCATATCCCAAAGTCCATTGAGGGGGCGTGGCTTGTTCGGGTGGTAGTTCTTCCGGAACTGGTCTACTTCTCTGTACTGCTACCTTGGTCCTAGATATAGCTGGATGCCAAATTCTGTTTAGGTAGTGAGTTTCTTCCTTCCTGTTGAAATTATTTGGATGTTTGTGAATTTCAACAGCTTCCCTGACCAGACGAGGATGATATCCAGATGTTGTGGCAATGACTTGGGTGACTTCGAAGTGGATTTTGTGGTCACCATATCTTAGAGCATGTTCTGCTACGGCCGACTTGTCTGTTTGCCATAACCTGCAGCTTCTCTTGTGTTCCGTAAGTCTCGTTCCTACTGAACGTTTGGTAGTTCCAATGTATACGCTACCGCAGGAACAAGGTATACGGTAGATCCCTGCAGAGGATAATGGTACCCTTTTATCTTTGGCTGGTCTCAAGCAGTCCTTTATTTTCCGGGTAGGTTTGTATATTGTTTTGATGTTGTGTTTCCTGAGAACTTTTCCAATTCTATCGGTGACCTGGGAGACATATGGAAGGAAGGCCTTATTATGATGTTTTCCTGTTCATTGGCGTCAGGTCTCCTCTGCCTAGGTGCCAGCGCCGCCTTTATTTCTCTGTCATTATAGCCATTGGCAAGAAAGGCTTTATTTAAATGACTTAGTTCCTCTTGGATGTGTTCATTAGCACAGATACGTCTTGCCCTATTTGCTAATGTTCCGATAATCCCCTGTTTTTGGCTTGGATGGTGATTTGATAGTTTGTGTAAGTACCGGTCTGTATGAGTGGGTTTTCGATACACGGTGTGATCCAAAAGGTCGCCATTTCTCTTGACAAGCACATCGAGGAAGGCCAGTTGGTTGTTTACTTCGGTTTCCATGGTAAATTTTATGCTCGGGCTCTGCGAATTAAGGTGATGAAGGAAGTCATCTAGGCTGTCACGTCCATGTTTCCAAACCACAAATGTATCGTCCACATAACGAAACCATACAGCGGGCTTCAGAACGGATGACTCTAGCGCTTTTTCTTCAAATCTCTCCATAAAGAAATTAGCAATTATTGGGCTGATTGGGCTACCCATTGCGACACCTTCTGTTTGTTCGTAGTAATTGCCGTTCCATAAGAAATAGCTACCAGTCAGACACACTCGGAAGAGCTCCGCGATGTCAGGTGGGAATGATTCCTTGATTAGATCCATTGACTCGCCTAGGGGTACTCTCGTGAATAGAGATACCACATCGAAGCTTACCATGATGTCAGATGGTTCCAGTTTTATATCTTTTAGCTTTTGGACGAAATGCGTTGAGTCCTTCACATAAGAGTTTGTGTTGCCGACTTTCGGTTGTAGGATCGTAGTCAAGTATTTAGCTAAGTTGTAAGTAGGCGATCCTGGAGCACTCACTATCGGTCTAAGTGGGACACTAGCTTTATGAATTTTTGGTAGTCCATAAAGGCGTGGTGGTTGAGCTTCCGAGTTAATTAATTTTGATTTCAGATGTTCCGGGAGTGAGGAGGCCTTGATGAGTCTGTTGGTGTTTCTGACAATTAAGGCAGTAGGATCCTTCTTCAGTAACTTATAAGTCTGGGGCTCCAGTAGATCCTCGATTTTGGACCTATAATCCTCAGACTTCATTACTACCGTAGCATTCCCCTTGTCTGCCGGTAAGACCAGAATGTCCTTGTCAGCATTCAGCGATTTTAGAGCCTGATGTTCTTCCCTAGACAGATTACTTTTTGGAGCCTTAGCAGTTCTCAATATGTTGACCGTTTCAAATCGGATTTCGTCTGCGATACTGTTAGGAAGGTTACGTATGGCAGCTTCTGTTCCGGCAATAATGTCTTCCACTGGAACCACTTTCGGTGTTATGGCAAAGTTTCCTCCCTTCGCTAATAATGTTACTTCTGATGTCGTAAGGGTCTTATCTGTGAGATTCACCACGGTTCGAGCAGGTTCAAGAGATATCCTATATTCCGGCTTGGTTTTTGGTTGCAGTTTTTCATATTTGATCTTCTGGCGAGCTGATGTTCTTTCCAATTCATTTTGCATATTTTGGTATGTTATTCCGTCAATCTTGTCCCAGTCTACAGGTTGCATGTTGGCGGTAAGGATATAAAATAGGTCGATCAATTCCCTGTCTACCTTTGCTAAGTCTCGTCTAGATGTATGAATCCTCTCACGAAGAAAATTTTTCTCCATCCTGGTGTAAAGGCAAAAACCAAGCCGGAATATAGGATATCTCTTGAACCTGCTCGATGTGGTATCTCTATTCACGAGAGTACCCCTAGGCGAGTCAATGGATCTAATCAAGGAATCATTCCCACCTGACATCGCGGAGCTTTCCGAGTGTGTCTGACTGGTAGCTATTTCTTATGGAACGGCAATTACTACGAACAAACAGAAGGTGTCGCAATGGGTAGCCCAATCAGCCCAATAATTGCTAATTTCTTTATGGAGAGATTTGAAGAAAAAGCGCTAGAGTCATCCGTTCTGAAGCCCGCTGTATGGTTTCGTTATGTGGACGATACATTTGTGGTTTGGAAACATGGACGTGACAGCCTAGATGACTTCCTTCATCACCTTAATTCGCAGAGCTCGAGCATAAAATTTACCATGGAAACCGAAGTAAACAACCAACTGGCCTTCCTCGATGTGCTTGTCAAGAGAAATGGCGACCTTTTGGATCACACCGTGTATCGAAAACCCACTCATACAGACCGGTACTTACACAAACTATCAAATCACCATCCAAGCCAAAAACAGGGGATTATCGGAACATTAGCAAATAGGGCAAGACGTATCTGTGCTAATGAACACATCCAAGAGGAACTAAGTCATTTAAATAAAGCCCTTTCTTGCCAATGGCTATAATGACAGAGAAATAAAGGCGGCGCTGGCACCTAGGCAGAGGAGACCTGACGCCAATGAACAGGAAAACATCATTAATAAGGCCTTCCTTCCATATGTTTCCCCAGGTCACCGATAGGATTGGTAAAGTTCTCAAGAAGCATAACATCAAAACCATATTCAAACCTACCCGAAATATAAGGGACTGCTTAAGACCAGCAAAAGACAAAAGAGAACCATTATCCTCTGCAGGGATCTACCGTATACCTTGTTCCTGCGGTAGCGTATATTGGAACTACCAAACGCTCAGTAGGAACGAGACTTACGGAACACAAGAGAAACTGCAGATTAGGGCAAACAGAGAAGTCAGCCGTAGCAGAACATGCTCTAAGAGATGGTGACCACAAAATCCAATTCGAAGACACCCAAGTCATTGCCACAACATCTGGATATCATCCTCGTCTGGTCAGGGAAGCTGTTGAAATTCACAAACATCCAAATAATTTCAACAGGAAGGAAGAAACTTTTACCTTAACAGAATTTGGCATCCAGCTATATCTAGGACCAAAGTAGCAGCACAGAGAAGTAGACCAGTTCCGGAAGAACTAACACCCGAACAAGCCACGCCCCTCCGCCGACGCATAAATACGCGCTACGCCGACGCGGAGGCATCAGTCTAGTGTGAGCAATCGGAGCAAACACACCTCTGAAGATGCTAGCCACTCGTGCTAGCGAAACGTTAGGAAGCAATTCTAACCGACGACGGCCTAATAACCCGAAAAACCAAAATTCTTCAAACGATGGCCGCGAAAGCCTAAACTACGATATTAATATAGCTTGAAGACCCATACAAACGTGAGTTTGTTTCCCTTTTCGCTGCACTCTCGAATAAGAGTCTGAATTTTTTATTTCAGAGGATGTTGGACAAAAACGTCATTAATTTTAGACACAATCTCTAAAGAGTCAGAAACAGTTACTACTCTAGTCTGATTGTTTTCCATGATGACATAGGATAAGGCATCCCAGATCGCAAACTGTTCTGTGAAAAAATTCATATCCCAAAGTCCATTGGAAAGCTGATTTATTGATAATAATAATTGTACATCCAGCATCAGTTTGTGTTTTGGAGCCATCAGTATAAATGACATTTTTTTCGTTGTACTGATCTAGTATTTTCTGGAACTGTCTTTGGTATATTTCAGGTGACGTGTCTTGAGGTTTGAGGTTATGCAGGTCTAATATAAATTCAATTTCAGGTATTAGACAAGGAGGATTTTCATAAGGAATTTCATTCATTATCATAGGATGTTGTTCCATATAACAGAATAGCATTGTTTCTATCACTATATGGCTAGGATTTGCCAATGCCGAAGTGAGGTAGGATTTAGTAACTAATATAGTATTTCGTTTCTACCGTAGATCAATATAACTATAATCTACTTAATTTTCGACAATAATTGGCACTGTTCGTTAAAACTTCGGCTGTAAAATAATATAATAATTTTTGTAATATTCTATCCGCTGTTTGTTTTTATTAAAATAAAATAATTATTGCATCTTCAGTCGGGAAGAGTTGGAAGTTTAATTAAATTTTCAAAATATTGTTTTTGTCGCCGGTCGTCACAGGAATTATACTAAATTAAAATTTTAATTAAAAAGTAAATTTATATTTTGTTCACACGATTTTTTCGGCTTTTGTTTTGCCGGTTGAGAGTTATGAGATGAAATTTTCGGTATTTACTTTGTTGATTGAATTTTTATTAATTAATCACAAACATTTATTATTCGTAAATAATGTTTTCCGCTTTTCTGTAAACATATATTTAATTAAAAGTTGAATTTTATATAAACGATTATTTTTGTATTGCGTATGATGCAAATAATATTTTAGAATAAATTAAATACATTTATTTTAAATTAACGCAGACAACTTTACTAATTAAAAGTTGATATTTGTTTTTACAATTGAGGAAGTTTTGGAATACAAGAGGTAAACAGAACAACGTTGACTCCAACAGGATTTGTTTTTATTATGAATATCCTAAATATAATTTGAAAAAGATGAAATAGAGAGGAGTATAGTAATTAGTATTTTGAGCTGGGGGGACTTAAAAATACAGTATAATATGGAAATTAAGTAGAAAATCCTATTTAACATATTATTATCATTTATAAGTGTTAATTAGGTTCATTCATTGTTCTTTAGCATAGCGCATAGGAATGTTCCACCTGAAAAACCAGTTCAACTATTGTGAAGAACAAATGGACGAATTTCTCGTACCACTTCATTCTCACTATGCCTGCATGGACGCATGAACGAATCAAATCAACGCATCAGCGCCTAGTGAATATCGATCTTAGTCCAATATCGCCAATGTTAATATTCTAGTGGTGTGCGATTTTTGACTTAAAGCATTGCGGGGATGGACTATTGCTTTGCTATCGCGCTATAAGTATAAAACTTATAAATTTAAATTTTTTGTCGATCTATAATCCTAATGGATAATTAAAACATGATAAAGAAAGAGAAAAATGTAGATTAAAACGTTATTTCTGGACAGGATTAATTTTGTATCAATCATCTAAAACTACCCAAGTGCGCACTCAATTTAGTATTGTAGCTGTAGAGTTGGGGTTGGACCATTAATATATCAACAGTGGGAGTTAAAGTCTGTGCAACGAGAGGTTCCATGTCGATCACAGTTGTCTGTCATTTTAATTTAGCGGTAAATTGTAATTACTGATATTTATTGGAAATCGTCTGTCGATATCTAACCTGATTTGTTAAACAGACTGTAGTTATTTTTACCAACACTATGTTCAAAGTCATTCCCATCTCGCTCATTTTTATCTGTGGCTAAGCATCAAAGATCTGGAATCCCCGAACTTCTTTATGTCTCTATAAAAGTTAAAGCAAATCGAAAATACCAAAATATAAAATAAAACTAAACCATCAGAAGATTGTTGAATTTATTTATGTTTCAAGTTAAATTAACAAAAAAATAATTGTCGTATAAATTATTAACTGTCGCACATTTATTCAGTATTACAATCTGCACTTAAGGTAATAACCAATGTATTCATCACATTTATTTTAAAAATACATATACTTTTTTGGTTCTTTTCTATATGTTTTAAACTAATATACAGAGAGTTTTTAACAGAATCCATTTATTAAAAAAACTGTATAATCTATAATATACAGGGTGATCCGAACTGTATTCCGGAAACTTCGGCAGCATATTCTGCAGATAAAAACAAGTAAAAAAGTTCGTATAAATGTATGTCCTAAAAGGCTTAGTTTCAAAAATACAGGGTGTGTAGAAGTTTCATTTTTATTTCGATTTTTTTCCAAATAATTTCTGAAGTGACGTCAATATTTGGATGAAAATTGGCATCTGGAATTTTTTTGGTTCTTTTCTATATGTTTTAAGCTAATATACAGAGAGTTTTTAACAGAATCCATTTATTAAAAAAACTGTATAATCTATAATATACAGGGTGGTCCGAACTGTATTCCGGAAACTTCGGCAGCATATTCTGCAGATAAAAACAAGTAAAAAAGTTCGTATAAATGTATGTCCTAAAAGGCTTAGTTTCAAAAACACAGGGTGTAGAAGTTTCATTTTTATTTCGATTTTTTTCCAAATAATTTCCGAAGTAACGTCAATATTTGGATGAAAATTGGCATCTGGAATTTTTTTGACATGAGAAATTTTATTTTGATGTCAATATGACTCCCATTTGTAGCAGGCTCCACCTCCATGTGCTTTAACTGTTAATAACTTTTCGTCCGTACCTGTATAAAACTATTGAGTGAAAAAATATACATTTCCATGACTTTTTACGTAAAAAATGTCTTGGTAAAAATCGCTACGAGCAACCGTTCTTTAGATATTTAGAATGAAAATAGTTAATACATTATGTCAATATATTGACAAAAAATAAACACATATACTTACTCGACTGAAATAATAAATTTGGGAAATTTTTATTTCTTTAAAATTAGTCATAAACTTTTCTGCGAAAAAATGATGACAAAACAGTTTCTGTTGAACTTTTGGCAGAAAAACATTTCAAATTTATGATTTCAGTCTAATAACTAACTATAGTTAACATGTTTAATTTATGTCAATGATGTTAAATATTGATAATTTCGATTCCAAATATCTCCATTACCATTACTCGTAGCGATTTTTACAAAGAGACATTTTTTACGTAAAAAACTTCGTAAATGTATATTTTTTACTCAGTAGTTTTATACATGTACGAACGAAAATTTATTACTCTTCAAACCAGTTAAAAAATATATAGGTGATGCCCTCTACAAGTAGGAGTCCTATTGATATCAAAATCAAATTACTCATATCAAAAAACTCCTAGGCACCAATTTTTATCCAAATATTGACGTTACTTCATAAATTATTTGGAAAAATCGAAATAAAAATGAAACTTCTGCACTCTGTATTTCCAAAACTAAACATTTTAGGACATCCACTTATACGAACTTTTTTACTTATTTTTATCTGCAGAATATGCTGCCGAAGTTTCCCGAATACAATTCGGACCAGCCTGTATAATTTAGATACAAGTCTATAAGTTGTAGTAGATACTTTGAGGTGTACTTGGATTTGAATATATACAACTTTATACAAAGTTGCCTTTATTTTTAAGGCTGAATGAAAAAAAGAACATAAATGTGTTTATATTTTCAAATAATCCTCCTTTTAAGCCGGAAATGTCAAGAAAAGGAAAACAACTTAAAAAGAAAATATGCTCCAAAAATGCTCAACCCAAACCGAACCAAAAATTCTTTGCCAAAAATAGTACCCTTATTGTTTTATTAGGAGTAAAAATGATACTTTTCGTGAAGAGGCTGTACGTTTGATGGACGAGCGTTAGCGAATCCGATATTATAAGCGAGGCACAAAATGTCCGAGGCACAATTTTTCAAACGTCACACATAATATGAAATGACATTAGCAGGTTTGGAACCAGGAATAAAAAACATTTTATTTAAAAAC